CAATAACGAAATATGATTAATCAACAATTTATTCATTATGATAAAAAGATAAGAAGAATAACAAAAGATGAATAACAAAAAATAAAATTGATAATAATAATAAACAATTATGATTAATTACATAAATAAGAATACTATATTATAATTAAGAATGAAGTGATGACATCAACAGTCACAAAAAATTACCTATATATACTTATTGTAACAATTTATTAGAGTAACAATGGCCCCGCAGGGGCCATATCGCGCTACGCGCGATTGTTACTCTAATAAATTGTTACAATAAGTATATATATACAGAAATTGTTACACGTGACGTGGTAACCATTAAAAGATATATATATAGGACTGGTAATCCTATATATATTTAATTATAGTAATTTATAGAATTTTTTTAAAGGACCTTGTATTCACTATAACTACTTTTAAGTCATAAAATTAGTATGTTACTTCACACCGTACTATGTTTACGGGTTCATCCACGATACGAATTTTACTACTTAAAATAGTATATCGTTCATTTATGGTCCATCTATATAGATCTAAAGAACAAATGGCCTTTGGCCTATATAAGAACTTGATAGTAAGAAACTGTAATTTATTAAAATGATGCGAAGAGCAAGAAGAGCAACTGCACCTCGTGCAAGACGTAATTTAAAATCTACTATGGCAGGAAATTTAAAAGCTGCCTTCCAACAAAGAGACAGTACTCAAGTAGTATTAAATGCTACTGAGACTGTACAATTAGCTATTCCAGCTAATACTAATGGTGCAACTACTGTACGTAATGTAACTAAGTTGCTTTGTGGTACTGAATTCTTCCAACATTATGCTGGAATGTATGATCAATTTAAAATTGATGGTGTTTCAGTATCAGCTGAAATTGTATACAATACATTTGGTCAAGCTGCAATGACTTTCCCTAATGTTATTACTGCATGGGATAGAAATGGTATTGATAAAGCTACTGCTAATGTAGTAACCAACCCAGAAGGAGGACAGAATCTAACTAATGTTCCAATTGTACCTGGACCATATCAAGTGAGTTCATATTCTAGTGCTGTAAGTAGAGCATATTATCCTGGAGCTAGATGGGGTATTACAAGAAGACTTATTGCTTCATCACTTCAAGAGAAGAGTATTTATCTTCCAACAGTTAAGACTGCTGAAGTATTGACTGAATCTACTTTATATGCTGCATGGAATCCTGATTTCCTTCTTTCTGTTCTTTTAGGTAATCAAACAGCTACATGCCAAACACTTGTATTTAATTTAACATGGTCATGGGTTGTTTCACTTAGAGGATTAAGAAAGAGTACACTTGATGTTATTCCAATTCCTAATGCTAATTCACTTGGTTATGCTGGAACTAATGCTGGTACTGTTGCAAGTGGAACAAATAATACTATGATTCCTGCTTCAATGACTGTTGATAATAATGCTGGAGTGGTTACTGTTAGTAATCCAGTTTATACTACACAAGTACAAAATACAGGAGGAGTTACTTCTGTTTCTAATAATTCATGGACTGTTGATGCACTTAAGATGTATTTGAATGAGGTTATGTATAATATAGGTGTTGGTAAGGTTGATGCAATTACATTTGATAATAATAATTTACATGTTGTTGAAGCTAGTAATGCTGGTACTGCTATTAATTTGCCTGCTGGTAGTTCTACTATAATGCCATGTGTTATGGTTGCATTTGCTACTACTATGACTCTTGGTAATGGTACTACTGGTTATAATTTAACTATTTTCTTGTGTGGTAATGGTAATAGTAATGCACATGTAATCAATGTTGCAACTGATGCAAATACCTTTGTTGTTTATTCTGAACCGTTTGCTGTTTATGGAATTAATCTTCCTAATCAAAGTGGAGCTACAGCTGAATCTGTTGTTACTACTTCTTTGTTAACTACCGTAGGAAGTACTACTACTAATTCTCCTGCTATTATGTATGCAAATACTGATACAACTGCAGAAGCTGCTGTTAATGTTGCTGCTGGTTCTGTGTTAGTTGTTGCAGGTACAAATACTGCTTCTTCTGCTTATCCTGTTGTTAAAGTTTTACAAAGCTTTGTTACTGCTGTTAATAGTAATGATGGACAAGTAGTATTAGCAAATTATTAAACTAAAATTTCTAGTAATAATTTAATTAATTTTTAATAATTTGGGAAATAGTCAATTTTGAATTGTGTCAGAGTCATTGAGTCATCTATATAAATGGCGTCTATAGTTGATCCATATGATTTCATTGTTGACGCAAACATTGCAGTGTTATTACTGTCTAGGAATCTTAACATATTGCAATTTCTCATTATATAAAAATAACTTTTTTCTGGTTCGAATTGGTATATATTTCCTGCTTTTATTTCTTCTATTTGTAGTCCTCCATCTTTATGTTTTAGTATTGTTAAATCGAAACTCATTGTTTCGTTTATTTTTATTATACCTGTTGATGTTGGTTTTATTAAAGCTATATTGTGTACGTATGTTAAATTTTCTGGTGTTATTGGTGTTAAATCTTCTGTATTTTCTATAGTTGTTATTGTTAAATCTGAAGGTTCTATTACGTAAGATGTAGAAGAGTCTTGTATGTAATCAATTTTTAGTATTTGAGGTATATTAATTGTCAAATTTACTTGTTTTAAGTAGTAATTTTCTGTTTTTTTTATTTCGTAATAACCACTTTCTGTATATGTTTGACTTATTGTTTCTTCTGTAGGTTGTACATTTGTATTTATTATTACAGAGTCTAAATATGGTATACCATTATCAGGGGTAACTGCAATAGTACCATTTTCTGTAATATTAACTGTTTTAGTCTCGCTTGAAGGTTTTACATCTGTTACTAATTTTATATTATTAATATAGTTATCACTTGTCAGTTGAATGGTTCCATTGTTAGTTGTTGTTATAGTTGGATTATCTATTGTCATATGAACATTGAATGTAGTGTTGTTTATAGTGTCTTCCTTTCTTAATAATGTTAGAGTTGTATTAGAAACTAAAGACATTTAAATGAATAATAAAGATTAATTTAAAGTTTTATTTGTTATCTGAAGTGTTATTACTTGTTTTTGTTTTGGTTGAAATTTTAAAGTTACTTTTTCATATGCTTCATGTACATTTGGTTCTAATGTTATGTCTTCTCTATTATTAATATCATCGTTTGTAATTGTATAGTTTAAATCTACTAGTGTTATGTCTGGATTAGGTTCATTATCTTCGTCTTCTGTTGGAGTGCAAATATATCTATCAAAGGAGCAGGTTATATAACATTGCAGATTGAAATCTATTAATTGATTTTCTTCTCCTTCATTTGTTTTATTTGTTGTTTCTACTGCTATAATATACCATGGATAAAATGGGATAGTTACATTTTCATTTGTATAAGGATTCCAAGAGATATTATTTTCATCGTAAGTCCAAAAACCTTCTACTCTTGTTGGTCCATAAAAGTTTTGTTCTTGAATAGTTTGTGCTTTAATTATTGTTGTTATTTGAAATGCTCCACCGGGGTAATAAATTTGTTGTTGTATATGACTACTATTTTGAACCATTTTTAATTGAGCTTCCGGTGTTGTTGTTTCATTTTCTGTTTTTATATATGTAGGGAACCATGAAACTGATACAGTTGGAAAGTGAAGTCCTATTTCTTTCATTTTAATATCAGATATGGATAATACTGCTAATGCTTTATCTATTTTTACTCTTTTAAAACATTTACAGAAGGAATTAAAATTTGTGTTTTTGAATAAATCATAAAATATATGAGTTGTATCTATTCCAAAGTTTTTATTTTCTTTTATTAATACTCTTTTTTTAACATTAAATGAAAATTCAACTTGATGAGTATTTTCAGGACAATTATTACGTGTATGTATCATTTGAATATAAAGATGAACTTAAAAATTCATAATATGTCAACAGAAAGCAGTGATTGTCATCACTCTGAGTCTTGTGTTGAAAAGGTATTCAAAGATAGTACATGGAATGTAATTAGGAAAGTTGTTATGTTAGTACTTTCATGTATATTACTTATTGCTTCGTGCTTTTTTGCTTTTATTGAGAGTAGAAGACAAAATCAAGTTATGGATGGTATAGAAGAAGTGTTGGATGTAGTAAAAGTATTAATTCCTAATTAATTTATTTGTATCTTAATCTTTATATTTTAATTATGAGTTGTTTACATGATGTACTCCTTATGTTCATTCTTTTTACTTTACTTGTTTTATGTTGTTGCATGCATGGTTGTATTCGAGATGATGGTTCTGTTTCACGTTTATGTTGTTGTCCAGGATCTTGTCAATATCGTTCCATTTGATGTTTAAACTCAATACTTAGTAACTTAATAATTTAATGTTTTTTGACTTATACGGTGTTCCACGTTTAAATTTACATAAGAAACGGTATGGTAGTTATGGTTCTATTCGTAGTTGGTATGGTAATTATAAATTAGTTAATAAGAAGCCATATACTTATCAGCGTGTATATGATAGAAGTCCAAGTAATAAGAGGAATGAATTTGATAAAAGGTATAATAGAGATTATGATAAGAGGCATGAAGAGACTAAACCTAGAAGGCCTGATAGTAATCGACCTCAGCGTCCTACTAATAAGAGACCTACACAAGACAGAAGACCTTCTCAAAAAGATAAGCCTATTAATCGTCCTGAAAATAAACGACCTGTACAAGATAGAAGGCCTGATAGTATAAAAAAACCGAGACATCCTAGTCAACCTGAACAAAGAAAACCTATTAGACCTACACAGAAACCTTCTAAGATTAATGATAAGTATGATCCGGATTTGGATAAGATTATTAATAAACAAATTAAGGAAATTGAAGATAAGACTGATAAATTATTTGACAAGAATGTTACTAAAGAAGAGAAGCAGAAGTGGTTACAAGATGTTAAGGATACTCTTAAAGATCGTGTTAAAGATATTTCTGATTATTTCCCTGAAGATTTAACTGAAGTTATTAAGAAAGATCCAAAGGCTAAGTTGGAAGCTTCTTTATTCAAGTCTCTTTATGATGCTGGTATTAAAGTTGGAAAGGGTTTAATGGATGGTGTTCTTCCTGTTGTTGGTGGTGCTATTGCACATGGTATAAAAGATGCATTTAGTAAACCTTCTGATAATTTATTGGATCCTGCTCAAAATAATGTTCAACAACCAGTACGTCAAGAAAATACTCATCAACATGTTAAGTATTTGCGTGAGAAGTATAAGCAACATAAACCTGTTACTAGTAAAGATCTGGAGAATATCAAACAAATTATATTAGCTGATCCTTCTTTAGTTAAAGATTATGTTAGAGTTGTTTTTACACCAAATGAGTTAGGTAAGTTGTATGAAGAAGATCCTGATTATGGACCTATTGCTCTTCCTTTACATATGGGTGATCGTTTGTTTTTTGTTCCTCCTAAAGTTCTTTCTAAGAATGGTAGTGAATATTTCGTTCCTAGTTATTATTTGAATGAGGATGATGGTATTATTATTTCTCCAGAGTATCAGAATAAGTTACTTGCTGCTAATAATGAGTTTGAATTATTTCCTGGATCATTGTCTGGTCAATATCCTGAGGGTGATGATTTTGAAGAGTATAATTCTCGTCGTTTAACTTTTTTGTTTTCACAGTTGCCTCCTGAATTAAGGCGTCATATTGAAAATGATTTTACTATTGATCATGCTGCTGCTTATCGTTATGCTAAGTTGTTGAAGATTGATGTTCCTAAAGAATTGCGTACTGGTGATAATGATGAATATTATCATAAAATCAATTGGGGTATGCGTACTCATGAACGTTTTGGTAGTGGTCGTAGATATTTTGAACCAGGTGATTTTGAGAAGAGGAGTGATCTTATTAAGTATATGAGAGAACATTATTTGTGGAAACGTGATGATAAAGATCATTGGTCTTATCCTGAAGATCCTGATAAGAGTGGATTTAATTATCTTAAAAGACTTGGTAGTTCTGATAATTTTGATGATTGGGGTAAGGTTTTATTAAAAATGAGTCCAACTGATCCTGATTCATTTAAAGTTTATACACGACCTGATGGACGTAAAGTGTTTGTCGAATATAATCCAGACACTAATAAAGTATTAAATATTAAATAATCAATTATCTTCTTTTTTGGGCTTTGTTTCTTCTTCTTTTTTATCTTTTATGATAAATCTATTTTTGTATGGTTTCCTTTCTTCTTTCTCTTCTTTCTTTGTTTCTTTCTTTTTCTTTGGTAGCTCCCACATTAATCCTTTCTTATTGGCTATTCTATAGACGAGAGACCAGTATGGCTTTTTTAATGCCACTTTCTCTTCTGTGGATGTCTCATCATCGATGATGTACATTAGCTTATTCATCGTTTCGATGAGTTCTTCATCGCCCATTTCTTTGTATTTTCCTAAGGCGAAATCAGCAATGATGTCTCTAATGCTTGCAGTCATGGTATGATTAAACAGATTAAATGGGTTCTTTAAATACTCAATTATCTAGTTCTAACTTTATCTTCGCCGCCAATTGTTGATGTGGCATAGTCGAATTGAGGATCTTCTAATGGTTCTACTGGTTCTATAGGTATTTCTGCTTCACTATCTTCTTCTATAATTAGATTTAACGGGTAATCGTTTTCTTCTTTTTCTATTTCTGGTTTCTCTTCTTTTTCTTCTTTTTCTTCTTTTGGTTCTTTTCTTTTTGTAGAAGGTGGTTGTTGTACAATTATAACTTCTGATTCTAACATTAGTAATCTATAATTGTAATCGTGGAGTGCTTCTTCTTGCCATCGTTCAATAAGTTCTTCGGGAATTTCTTCTTCTATTAATAGAGGATGACGTTTTAAGTATTTCTTAATTTTCTTATTAACAAATTTATTTACTTCTGTTATTTTATTTATAGGATCTTTCATCTTTTTGATCTTTTCTTGTTTTCTTGTTTTTCGTTGGAGTTTTCTTGATTCTTTAGCTTGTCTTTCTAAATTACCTTGTGTTCTATCATCAACTAATTGAATTGGATAATTTATTTTCTTCTTTTCTGAATTATGTTTAAAGTTCTGCCAATATTTAGCATCTTCTGGTACAGGATCTAATTTTATTTCTTCTGGCATATGGTCATCATACCATTCTAATTCTTGTCCATCGTCTTCTAGTATTGCTTCTTCATTTTCTACTTCATTTGGTATATCGACGGATTCTAAAGGTATAAAGTCTGGTACAGGTTTAGCTTCTTTTAATACTAATTCTCTTTCTTCTAATTCGTTTAATTTAATCTTTATACCTTTAGAATCGTCGTCTGGTTTATTACCGTTGACGTCATCATTATTTTGTATTTTCTTGGGAGACTTCTTTTTCTGTTCTGGTTTAATTATTATTTGTTGATATGGTACAATCTCTTGTATTGGTTGTTGAGGTGGTAAGTTATTATTTCTAGGTGGATTAAAGAATGTTGATGTTAATTTTTCTTCAAATGGTCTTTTAGCTTGGTATTTAATTTTGCCTTTTCCATCTTCTCTATTGTCTTCACTATCCGAAGAACTATCATCTCCTCTTTTCTTATAATTATCATTAAAGAAGTCATCTAATTTTCTATATCTTTTTCTATTCTTTTCATCTTCTTCATCGTCATCCATTGGTTTTATTGCTTTATATTGTTTAGGTGGTATTATAAAGTTATCAGGATCTTTAACATCTTTATGTATTTCTATTTCTTCTTGTAATGGTTGTTCTTTTAGTTGTTGAAGTACTTCTGGTATTCTATTTTCTTCAATGTTATCAGCTAATAATATATTATCTTTTTTGTCAGTTATTATTACAGGTATTGTTTCATCTTCTTGTTCTGTTTGTAATAATATAGTTTCATTTCTTTTTCTTACATCTTCTTCTACTCTAGTTAGAGTGTCAATTAATTCATTTTCATTGTTTATATCTATTATTCCATCAAGTATTTTTAATGTATTATCATCATATGTTAATATTTGTTCTTGATTATTTGGATTAACTATTTCATATGTTATTGTTTCTTCTTCTGGAATATCTTCTCTTTGTTGTTCTTCTTCGTATTCTTCTTCATCTGGTTGTTCATTTATATTTCCAAATTCTCTATTATATTCTTCGTAGTCTGGATCATCGAATAGAGATTCTTCTGTTTTATTATATTCTTCATCAATTATATCTGGTTTATTTGCTCTCTCAGGTTCATTGTCTGGATCAAAATAACTATTTTCCGTGTATACATTTGGATGTAAATCTACATCATCTTCTTCTGTATAGTCTTCATCTCCTGCATCAGGATCATAATTATCATTAATTGAATTTAATGAGTAGTTATTGGAATACCAATTGTTTTTTATACTTCCATAACTACCCCATCTTCTTCTAAACACGTTTGGTCTATACCAATAGCTCATTATGAATAAAAATAAAAGATCAATTATAAAAAACAGTTAATTAAAAATTACCTGTATTCCAGTTATTTACTAGAGCATCTGGATCATCTTCACTTTCTTCTTCTGTACTATCTTCATCAGCTATTCTTATTTTCTTTCCACTTTGTACTGTTATGTATCTATCATCTCCTTCTTCTGTTATTACGTTTTTAGTTAAATCGAAGAATCTCTTCTGTATTTCGTGATCATCTTCGGCTATTCTCTTAGTTGGTGTTATATCCTCTGGTACTTCTAACTGGATTGGTGCTGGCATACTTTCTTGTTCCATTTGATCTACTATATCGTCTAATTCATCAACTGTAACATCTCCCATATCTTCGCTTACTTCTTCAATTTCATTCTCCATTAACATCTCAACTAGTTTGGGATCCAGTCCATCGTATTTCTTTTTATCTTGTATTACTTCTACTTTTGGAGGTGGCTCTACATACAATTTCTCTTTTGTCTGTAATACTACGGTGTTTTTCTCTAGCCAATCGAAGTCTTCAAACTCTTTGGCTCTTGTTTGTAGTGCCTTCCAGCTGCCTGGATTTAATACTAATATAGTTGGGACAGAAGTAACTTTTACGTGAGAATATTTAATGTTAATAGTTATTTGTTCCCCTCTAGTACTAATAAGAGATTTAAATTCTGGCCAAGTAATGTCATTCAGATTGGCATCATCAAACAGACGGATGTCATATTTTATACTTTCGTTGTGTCCATCCAACATGAAATGGCCACGGAATTCATCGACTTTTAGATTTTTTAATAAGTCGTTTACGAATTCGGTTTTCCCCATGCGTGTGTCACTGACTAGTACTAGAGTTTTAATTCTTTTTTTGTTTCCATTCAGTATTGTATCTAGCCATATACGGCTATTCTTTACTAAGCTGTTTTCTTCTTTCCATGGTTGCAACTTGATGTGGATACGGTGTATGTTGTCTCTATCGTGTTCTTGTATCCACATTGAATCAAACTTGGCCATGTTATTCATATAACCTTTTAAACTAATATCTTTTAGATAGGCATGTGCTTCCTCTAGATTTGGCATTTTTAAAGCTTTTCCAATATCTTTATCTCCTAATCTCCCTCTGTCCATTTTTATTTTGCCGATTTCTTTTATTACTGCTCCTTCTTCTGGGTGCTTTTTGTTTTGGTTTCTAATGTACTCTATTATATTCTTAAAACTGCCATCATAATGTTTGTTTTCTGTAACTGGAGTAAATTTTATAAAGTATTTCTCATCATTTAGTTGTATAAACGGCTTTTTTCTTGTATGTGTGGTGTCTTCTAATTGAAAGAATGCATGAATATGTTTATTCGGTCCTCGTGTTGTCATGCTCATTATCATGTAGTTGATTTTTGCTTCTTTGTTTTTAGTTGAACACCAATTCTCTATAGCTTTTTTTATTGTATTTTCTGTAGGTAATTTATCGTTTTCTTTTAAGTTGATTGTTACGTATCCGTGCATACTTCTGAACTGATAATATTTGTTATCAGACATTTTTGTTTGGATGGTATGGTAATAATCAGTTTACTTTTTAAATTATATAGAATTTTCTATTAATCCTAATATTGTCTGTTTTATTGTCTGTTTGTCTGTTATGAGGTGTCTGTCTGTCTGTTTTGTCTTTATTTTTGTCTGTTCATTACGTCATCCATACGTTTTCTTTTATATTTAACTGGAACTCTTTTTATTTCATTCAATGTTCCCTCTTCTGTCCTCTATCGTGCAAGATATCGACGAAACCTGTAAGGGTCTCCTCGATAATGATAGTATAGATTTGGATTCTAAATGCCTTATCTACTCTATCATGTACTTCATGAGGAGATTCGAGGAGACTCACTATAACTATAGTGATATCCTCTTCTTTTATATTACAGGTTTCGTCGATTCTTGCAGAAAAGACGAACGTTTTAATAAACTTGGTGGTTTATTAGAATTATTAGAGAACTTCAATTTTGTTAACGATATTGAAGACTAATTTATTATTTTTTATTTCGTTTATTTTTTAATTAAACAAAATAATATTAAAAAGAATTTAATTAAATTAATTGTCTTCCTCTTTTGGTTGTCTTGGTTTCTTCTCTATCTCTTTATACGAATTCAACATCCTTTCTTCTATTCTATGCATTCTTCTTTCGTAAAAGGCTTCTATTACTTCTTTATAGTTCTCTTTAATTTCATTTGTTAAATTATAAATATTATCAACTGCTATAGCCTCTTCTTCAAGTAGTTCATTATATTTTTCTTCGTTTGGATAATATCTCTCTTCCTTCTTAAACATCTCTACAAAATCGTCGCACAAATCTCTAAGCATAAACATGTCTAAGAAGAACTCATTCAGGTCATTTACTTTGACATTTTCCATTTTAGTACTCGTGATTTTATCTTCTACTTCCATTGTATACTCTAATTTATCCTGTCCGTTTAAATATCTAGATGTGGTAGGCATTCAAACAGACAAAACAGACAATTTTGACAGACAAAGAGACAAAACAGACAATTTCTATTTTTATCTTATTATACTTTTATTATAATTATAGTATAACAGACAATCCCTTTGCCTCATACAGACAATTTAATTTGTTATTTAAACGCCTCTAACAATGTTATCAGCATTCAATGCAATATACTAAACCCAAGTTATACCTCTCCAACTTAATCAGCGCTATTGCTAAGGAAGTTAGAGAACAGTTGAGTCGAGCCACGGATGAGACCTCTGAGATTGTGCTCTACGGGTTAGTTTATTGGTTCCGTATATGGGACCATGAATACAATTTGAACCCGACTAAGTACTTACTCATGTGGCTCGACTTCCTTATTAAGGACGTGGAGTCTAATTTAATCGACTCCAGGCCACTAGTTCATCTGCTTAGTCTTGTCCGTACTGGTTATTATCAACCAGATATTGAGCATTTTAATTGAATGCTTTTTAATTAGCGTTTAAATAACAAATTTGTTTATTTTTAGAAAGCAATAACAAAAATAAATAACATTTTTCTAAAAATAAAACAAATATAAATAAAATAAATCAATTATTTAGTTATAATAATTGGGTCTTTCTTCTCTTTGGTTTTGTCTCTTCTTTGACTGACTTTTCTAATTCTTTATCTTTTTTGTCTTCACTTCTTAATTTAGTAATAATTAATCTATTCTTCCTTTGTAGATTCTTGATATCCCTTTTTAATTCTTGAATAATATCTAAGTGTGTATTAATTGTCTTATTCAATGTATACATTGGTTTATCTCCAAATGACATGCTAACACCAGTTGATAGCATGTTGGCTTTGTCAGCTAATTCAATAATATCTGTTAATAACATATTTAAATCTTTAATGCTTGCATTAGTTTCTTCAATCTCTGTCTCTTCACTACTGTTGAATACATCTGGAATATTACTAGTATTACTTCCGAACATGATCTATGTAATGACCATATCTAGATGGTAGGGTCATTAAATATTAGTATAGTTTATTATTAAACTATAATTTAACTATAATGTAGGTGTAACCCTATCTAAGATCTCGTTAGGATGACGTTTCCCGAATTCTTACGAGAATTATACTCTAATAAATTGGTTACAATAAGTATGACCTCATATCAAGTATAGTTTCCAATAGTATATTTTACTATTGGCATTTACTATACTTTATGGTTACCACGTCACGTGTAACAATTTCTGTATATATATACTTATTGTAACAATTTATTAGAGTAACAATGGCCCCGCAGGGGCCATATCGCGCTACGCGCGATTGTTACTCTAATAAATTGTTACAATAAGTATATATAGGTAATTTTTTGTGACTGTTGATGTCATCACTTCATTCTTAATTATAATATAGTATTCTTATTTATGTAATTAATCATAATTGTTTATTATTATTATCAATTTTATTTTTTGTTATTCATCTTTTGTAATTATTCTTATCTTTTTTATCATAATGAATAAATTTGTTGATTAATCATATTTCGTTATTGTGACCCTTATCAATACTACTTAATTCTTTATGACATTAAAATATTAATCATTCTTTACGATGATTGGTGTTATATAATGTATCTTCGTTATTATTATTTATATTATTTATATTTAATATATTAATTATATTAATATTTATGTACATGTTTAATTTGTATTGAATATTTTTATGAATATTCTTTTAATTTTTTGAAATTTAATTTGAAATTTCTTAATGATGAATAAAATTTAATGAAGATGAAATAATTTCTAGATTTTCATTATATATATAATATTTATAATTATGAATAAATAATTAATTATATAAATACAATTATGATATAGATATATATCATATTAATTATATATATAATAATAGTACTATTTATAT